AAATGAGAGAGAGAGAGAGAGAGAGAGAGCTTGGGTGTTTTAATTGTCGTGTCTAATAATTGAACTATTTGTTTATATTTGCTTATATATATATACATATCGTTTTATTTTTATTTATTTTATTTAGTTACAAGAATATTATAGAATTTATTACTATTGTTAACTTATTTGGAAGTTTCTCATGTTTCCTAAGGGATGATGTTTAATTATTTGGGATACTTTGCGTCCTATTATTTCCCTAACATTCTCATCCCTTTAAAAACGGTTGAATATCTGTTGCTTTTATTTTTATGATTATCTCAGTAAATCCTGACTAATATTACATCAATATTATAATTTCCCACTCAGCAATAAACATGTAATATAACACATATTATACGTTAGATTGTTGAGTGATATGAAATTACAACATTGTAATATTACTACGGTTAGTTGATATTTAGTGGAATGCAATGCAAACTCTCAATTTGCCCATCAAAGCTGCTCAGGATTAGAGTTCCCATTTTCTTTTGTATAGTAACAAGCAATAACTAGAGGGATTTTCCTTTGCTATTTCGAATCATGTATTTTGCACTGAGAAAAATGGTCTGGTTCGATTAAATAGTAATTCTGGTGGAAAATGGACGAATCAGAATTTTCTGGTTAAATCTACTAGAATTCTAGTTGATATATAATTATTCTAAAAATTAGAATTCTAGTAGATTTTACCAGAAATATTGTATCAACCAGAATTCCAGTTATCTCGACTAGAATTCTAATAAATTTAACCAGAAAATTCTAATTCGTTCATTTTTAACCAGAAATTTTTGTCAGTGTGTCAATTTCTAAATGATACATGATTGTAGCAATTGAATAAAATTTAATGTGTTCTGCAGAGAGGATAAAGCTTAACGTTCTTTGTATGTCGCGCGAATAAAACCTTGTGCGAACAAAACTCTGGGACACCTTCCGGCCTTCAGAGTGTCGCCTGGCAACGGAGATTCGATACACCTACCAAATCGCCCACATAGCTCGAAAATCATCCTAGCGCCCATCATTGAAAAGTGTCACTACAAGACCTATAGGTCGAAGCATCGAAGAAAGTTCCAAAGCGTGTACGCGCGTGTAAGAGCTCGCCCACGCCAGGGCGCCATAAAAGTTGAGTTCGAATCTGCCCTCCTCAACCGCCTCCACCATCGCACCACCATGGGGCTTCACCACTGGTGCATTCTCCTCTCTCCCTCTACCTACGTTGCCCGGCACTGCTCATTTCTTCTGCTTCTTCTTCTTCTTCTTCTTCTTCGTCTTCATCTCCTCTTGCTCCTTCTCCACCTCGATCTCTTCTTCTCCTCCTCGTCGCCATCCACCCGCGATCTTTGCCTTCTCATTCCTCTTCTCCAACTTCTCGTCTCGCCTCTGCTCTGAAAGGGGAAGAGGGGGAGGAGGGGAGTTACGCGAAGTCCCTCCGCACGGACCCGTCGCGACAAGCCGCGTCGAGGAGGTCCAAGAATGCACGGACATCGCGGCATGGAAGGCGGTTGGCTGCGGGCCCCGCGAAGGGGAAGCCTCTCGAGAGAGCCGGGTTTCCTCGACGTAGAGCGGCGGCCGGCCGGCGGAGGACCTGCGTCAAGGGGGAGGCGGGAGAGAGAGAGAGAGAGAGAGCTTCACGGGGCCTCGAGGGCCACTCCGCGACCCGCCGCCCGCCGGGAGGACGAGGAGAGACGGTGGAAGTTGGAACGGCACGGCGGGGGCCCGAAGTAGGGGCCGGGAAGTGACCGGATGGCCTTGGTCCCGAGACTTGGTTAGTTACCGCGCGGCTGTCTATAACTGGCCGTGCCACAGGGCGGTATCTCCGATTTCGACCGCTTTTTAAGACGACCGGACCAGAGCCCGGGTCCCGGCCCCGGCCCCGGCCCCGGCACCGGCCCCGGCCAGCAAAGCAGAGAAAGAGGGGCCCGCTTGCTCCACCATGGGCAGGGGAAGTCCGAAGGGGCGACATGCCGACGAATACGCAAGATGTGCGCATGTATGTCCGAGAAGGCTGAGAACAGAGCGACTTGATGAAATTTTGTGAAAACTTTTAGCACTCACGATTGTATAATAAGAAAACAAATCGGCATTGCCGATAATTGGCGTATAGAGCATCCTGTGAATCTTTTCAATTTTTACAAAAATATTTTATTTGTTAATTCTTATTCGCGGATGAGAAGAGATTCCACAGGCGATTCTTATGCGTTCAAAATGAGAAGGCAATTGCATTGGGAACGACTTTGCAGCGCGACAGGAGCACAATTAGAGTACTCAAACTTGCGACTTAATTGCATTACACGTGCGACGCGCGCACTGTATGTTACCTGAAACGAAATCTTTTGTACGGGCTACGAGCTCACGCTCTCATAAGGCGTACCGCAAAAACCAATTTAACAGCTTAATCGCAATTAACCGAAAAAGATTGGTATGCTTCTCACGCGCGGTGTTCCATTATTCGAGCGCCGAGCGCCGCCGTGGTCAGAGCAATGCGTTCGAGACGTGCGAGAATCGCGCGGTATTCCACGCGCGATCCATTCGAATAACTCCGAGTAACCTTTGGAAATCGGCAGGTATACGATTGCGTAAACGCGCGCGCGGCCCGGCAAAACGCCGCGCCGTAGAAAATAATGGGAGGCGAAACGCAACGTGTTACACGCACGCTCTTCCGCGCTCCGCGGTCCACCACTCGATCCTCGCCCTTGCGGAGGACGGACGCCTACGTCCCGTCCCGTATAAATTAACGTAGTCGTGAAATCGCACTCGCGGATCTTCTCCTCCCCCCCTCCCCTCCCCCTCCCCCCCCGCGTCGCCGGGAGGGACTCCTGTCTGGAGCAAGAATGAATAGCCCGGTTACTTGCTCACTATCGCTCATTATTGTTCAACAGGGGCAACTTATGTGTGAGAGCGCAAGAAGGTATATCTGAGACGCGTACAAAGCGATGTACAGGGTGTTTCAAAGGTCGTGGACTTTTATCCAAGCCACAGGTGGTCGAAGTCAAGCCGCGAGTAGAATAATAGCTCTTTCAAGGTCGAAAATAATAGAATGCAACGGAAAGCGAGATTCCATATTGTTTGGAGAAAATGGCCAATGAAGGAGCGTTCCAATACGTCACACAAACCTTTAAGAAACGCCCAAAAACGTTCAAAGGACTTCTTCTAAACCAGAGTTGTTATCAATTCCTCATCTTAAAATTCCGTAACTTTTGTCTAATTTTCAGACAAAATTTCATAATTTTTTCTTTGATCTTTAATAATATTTTGAAATTTTTTATTTTTGCCCTGATTTAGAAACCACTAAATATTTTGTTGAGAGATTTTAATTTAGGCAAATAAATTATTATTAATGTTGCTATCACTACTTGCATTTTTAATTAAGTTGACAGTATTCTAAAATTGCAGTGTTATACATATTAAATTTCTTTAAAGTCAGGAATTTTAATTTTCTAGAAAATTTTGCAAAATTCCCTGATTTTTTTCTGACTTTTCTAATCAATTTCCTTGATTTCCAGTTTTGTGAAAACGTAAACGTTCCCAGGATGTCTCTTGATATATTGTATGAAAAAAATGTGACTTTTGACACGCCCGATACATCGGCGCCCCAGCCGAACATCTATCGAGCTAACAATTGCCTCAGCGAGTTTGCGAAAGTCTCATCCGTGGTATTTCACGAAAGATCCCCGGGCGATCTTGTCTATCGTTATACGTATATACCTCACAGATCAGACGTCGGCAAGGAACATCGTCATTAAGAAATTCGTTGCTAGATTGTATTTGAGACGGTCACAGACGCGCTGCCAATTCGTCAAGTAGTTTCGCGTTAATTATAATTATTCATACAGCTTCCGCGTGTCTCCAAGGTGCGACAATTCGCGGATAAGTTTGCCGGAAAGTTCGCGTCGTCCGCGTAAGTGGCGCATTAAGAGTACCTTGTAGGACCCAATGATGCTTGAGAGCACATGAACGATACTTTTTCCACGAGTCCGCAATCAGTGGACGACTAATGACGAAGGATATTAACTTCGTCACGTATGCGGTCCATAGGCGCGTCGCTGAGATCCGCGGATCCGCAAACGCGTTTTATGCAGATTACCTCTTCTCGATTTACCTCGTACCACGACGATAAATTAACGTCGCGGGTCAAGAAACTGTTATAGGCTCCGACGCGTTTGTTCGAGATGCGCGTTATTATTTAAGCGTTACTGTTCTTTTCCGCCTCGGGCAACCTTCGAGCGTACTTCTTCGTCTCGACTCTACGACTATGGACGTAAACTCGACGTATTGAAAGGCTCAACTGAAAAGCCGGCAATCTTCATTATAGTAGAGCAAAAATGAGCAAATGGGCATTAATTACATCGCATGAAGCGCGAACTGAAATGAAACGGAAAAGAGATAATTTTCGAGCTCGTAATTTCTCAGGTATTTGTTAATCCTCTATTACGTGATGTAATTTTCAAATCACATATACCGGTTTTATTATTCAATTTGTTTCTTATATTTCACTTCGTTTATCGACTATTATAATTTTGAAGCTATAATATTATAGAGAAGCTATACTCTCTGCACTTTGTCCTTAAAGAATATTCTTTATTTTATTCAAACAATTTTTTCTTTTTTAAATTATATACCAAACATTTCTTAATCAAACTAACTAATTAAATGATTTGAAATATTAAGCCGATTTTTAACATTCGCTTATTAATAATTAATCATATATTATAATTAAACATACATATTTTAAAAATATATTATATCATATATATTTTTTGTGCACGAAAAGAATGATTTTGTTAAAGTACCTAAAAATTTAGCTAGATATAAATTAATAAAGAACTTTTTAGATCAAAACAATTAATATGTAGTATGCTCAAGCTTGCTAAAATATCAAAACTTTTTGCAACCACCTTGAATATGTTATATAATTATCTTGATGATTCAACAAAATATTCCACAAAATTATCTTGATATTTCAACAAAATCGTTATTTCCGTGTATTCATATTCTTATATGGAAAGTCGCCATGAAATCGGAGGATCTGGTTACAACGTGCTCGAATTCGAGATAAGACAGAGCCCCGTCGCCGTCTATGTCGCTCTCCTCCAGAATTTTTCGACACACGGTAGTCACCTCTTCGGCACTTAGCCCATCTCGAGTAAGTTGCCGACAGGTGCGTTCCAAATCGTCCAGACCCAACACCCCGTCCTCGTCGAAATCTGTTCGCGGAAGATTACAAATTGATATATGCGATACAAAAATGATCATCAGAACATTGTTCAAGCAAAGCTAAATGGACCTAGTGGCGGATTCTTCTTTGTATATCGATAATGCTTTTTCACTTAAGCCTAATCGTAAAATATTTATGAGAGTTACAAGCAATGGATAACGAGATAAAAACGTGTAATCTGTGGCAAAGGAAAAACATCCTGCTCGGACAAGGGTATAATTATAACGCTGCACCGCGGCAAAATCGATCGGTTGTTCCGTGCAAATATTCTCGTGCATCGTGGATGTCGTGTCTGAACGCCGTATGTACTCCTCAACCCATGGAACAACTATAGGTACAGCGAGGTCGACCTCCAGGCTCTCTCACGGTTCGCCCGTCCGTTCGTCCGTTTGTCTGTCTGTCCGCTCGTCTGGTTCACCTGGTGGTCCGTACCGTAAATTTTGAAGGCGTAAAAGACTTTCAAATCCCGCGGTGCTTGTTCAGAGAACACAGACAGCATCTCGAGAAATTCCTCGAAACAGATTCCTTCGGATGTAGATTGTCCTGAATCCTGGCGTTGCGTAAAAACTTCCGAGATCCGTTCTCTAAACGGATTTTCCTAAAAAGAAAAAATACCCTCTGTTAGTGGAAAACTCGGAAAAATATATATTTTTAGCTAAAACGTAATAAGATAAGTTTAAGTATTATTTAAATTTATTATTATGTAAGTTTAAGTATTAATATCATTTCATTCGATTATGTAATAATTACTGAAGCATGTAAGCTTAAATATTCTGTCTCAATATTTAATGATATTCTATCTATATTCATTGCAGCGAATAGAATACATATGTATTATAGAATACGTATTTTAATTAAGACAAAAAAATATTTGTATAAATTTCCTTACATAATAAACAACAATTAAAGTTACGTAAATGTTAACGTTGTATATTTAAAATAATGATATATACATAATTTAAAGTAAAATAAAATTATACGTACATATATTATGTCTATGTATTATATACCTTAATTTAAAATAATTATAAATAAAGTGAAGCTTTACAGCATATACATATGAAACTTTTAGAATTTATGTTCGAAATTATTTTAATATTAGATAATATGAACCTTCAGTTCGGGTATACGAGCCAAATACGACAGGGGCAAACGAAGAGACGATGCCTCTTGCGGTGTCATGATACGCGGTATCATTCCAGGATCTCCTATTTCTCGAAATCTCTTAAATATTCTGTAAAAAATGAAAGAAGTTTCGACAAAGTAAAATAATGCAAATAAAGTACTACCTTAAGATTTCTTTGCGCGTGAAAAAGGTACAATCTTGATAATCTTCGAGTTGTTCTTCAGTAAACGTTGCCACTTTATTTCCCATTATTCTATTAAATTTTTTTTTTAATATAATATTACGAATACGCGCGCGTAGGATTCTAGATTATTCTTTTTTTTTATTTAAGATATTTTTTTTATTATTTTAGCAGGAATTGTTATTTTAGTTTAAAGAAAATTAATTTGGATGGAAATTAAAGAACTTTTTAAACTGGATTAAAAAAAGACTGACATTTACGAAAGAACAACGAGGACTGAGTTTTCACATACCTGATGTTCGATACGAAATCGTGCAATCTAATAACCAGGGTGTGTCTCGCCACTCCCACCCTCAGGGATATTTCGATTTTAAATTTACGAGCAACTATGACCTACTTGTATACTTTATTGTTAATTGTACAACTCTTTTATAAACAATATGAACGCAAACAATATGAATGCAAACTCTGACATTAATACTCTATAAAACTTTCATATTTATAAAAAAATTATACAATTGTTAAATGCAAATTATTGATTGACTATCAAGACTTAAAAAATATAAATATAGGCATATGTGCACATGTGTTAAAACGTTTCAAGTGTGGCATTACAGAAAGTTAATTGCATTAATTGTATCGATACAATTGTAGAAAAACGTATATTTCAAAATCTTAATCATATAGATTAAATTTATAAATGTTTTTAAATTTTTCACAAAAGATTTTACACAAGATATTGAAAATGTAAGTTAAAATAAATATTAAAATACTTAAAATTATTCAATAATCTTCTATTTATAATTCAGTAATTCTTTAGATATAATAATCTTCATATGCTTCTTTACAATCAGTTAAATTATGAACACATTCCACAAATTCGTCTTCTTCGAGTCCGGAATCCGTAAAGGCATGGAATTTCTTGATACTTCTTATCCTTTTGATCTGTTTAAGTAGAGATTCGTACATTGCCGCGACATTACTACCGCTGTGCATTCCAGCCATTACTGCAATCGAGTTAACATCTGAAAGAGAAAGCAAACGCTGTTAAATTTTATCATTATTTAATCTCGACGTTATTTTTTTGTATTAGTAAGAAGACTTACCGGTTCCTACGGGCCAACCGGCGATATTGCCATCCTTAGTTACGTTATTATTAAAGATCTTTGGATATGGTAAAGTAATTTTCAGTGGTGCCTCGATGTTGGATAAATATGTAGCCGATGCATGACACGTACATGCCAGATACAACGTCATCATCTCGTGTACGCTGGAGCATCTGTAGGCTGGTTTGGATATTTGTTTACTAGCTTCGTGAATGGGTCGCTTTATTCTGTCTTCGGAAATTCCTCGTAACGCTATACTTTGCATATTATTATCCATTGGTATATCGCAGCTCGGTGTTAGGCTTGTCCATAGAGAGCCTTCGAATTCATCTAATACGTCTATTAAATCCATCTTCATCTTCATAGGAAACGGTAGGCTCAGACTAGTCGCCGCAGCTTTGCGACCTAGTTTGTTCAAATCAGCACACAAATCAGATAAGCTGGCACTCGGATACTTCTTGGTCCTATATCTTAAACTCAATGTGTCTAAAGCGGTGGCTAATATCGCGCTACTGTGATATTTTAGTTCTGGACTGTACGTTATATTTTCAAATTTACGTGAACCAGCCCCGAATGGCCAATCGACTTGTCCACAGGAAAGTGGACTATAAAGCGATGAATTCTCTCCAACGTGTTGCCAGCATAATGCTGTATTGACAACTTTAACTAAATCCGATGCACTAGGTTCGGCATTATTAAAGTCAAGACATGGAAATGCCAAGATACTCTTTCCATACTCATCACGTAGATGCTGAACGCAAGATGCTCCAAGACCAGCAAAGCCATCAACAGAATCCATAAGCACCTATTTAATGAGATATTACATTAGTAATGATAATTGTTTTAATTAAAAAAAAATAGCATGCAAAAATAATGTATAAACATGCACCTGAAATCCTTGCATTAAATCACACTCTTCTACATATAATCGTATTTTGTCTGTGAAATTGTCAAAGAATTGTTCTGTAGACCATAAATCGCGTCCATACGTGAATATATTAAATGGCCGTTGCGTACAATTATGTAAATACTGTTTGATGACCATTACTGTCCTTGGATGAAATTGTGGTGAAAGGTAGTCAACCCATGATTTTACATCGCTTTCAAAGTTGAAATTTTCCGAATCCACTGCTCCATCAAGTTTATTTAAGTTCTGAATAAAAGGTGTTCTTGGACTAGGTTCAGCGCTAGTAATTTCCAATTTTGTACTATCCCATAGCAGCTGATTGTCTGATTTCGTATCATATAAAGAACCTTGTTCACTCAGGTAACCTATTGCTCCTTTTAAATCTGCTATTAACAATCTTGGCGTGAATGTTACTTGTTTCTGAAATATAACTGTCTAATAGTAATTACCATTTTATAATATTGAAATATGTACATTTATAATGTAGGTTTTGAACATAGAATATATCATATTAGAATATATGAATTTTAAAATTATAATAAAGAAATTTATTAGAAAAATATTATATAATAATCACTATTTTTACATTATCATATGTTATGTTTTAAATATAGATATAGATTATATTTTAGAGATACAAAAGCTATGTACAAAAAATTGCTTTTGTTCCCTTCATCATATAAACTACAATAAAATATTGTAACTTGGAGTTTTGAGCAAAATGTTTTATATACATAAAAAATATATACCAATCTCTGCATTGGCTTTAAATTCTTGCAATACCAATTTTGGAACTAAAATTGCTATATAAATAAACCTCTTCGATAATTACAACATTTTTAGTGTCATTGATACATATTTCTGTTGCCTATTTATAAAAGTAGTAAGCATATTCAACACTATCTTTACTTTTACAATTACACTTACTCGTACGTTTTCACCTTCTTGATACAGTACATCATGATTTATCTCGGACGGATTCTTTGGGTCATACGTGAAGTTAGATTCCTGTAAAATAATAATTTCGTAATATATGTGATTGTTAAACACAGAGACGCGTATATGTCAAGATTTATCAACAAAAAAATATAGCCATCAATACCTGCAGATTCCACCAATGCGTGCCAATAAAATTCGAATAATGACCCAATTGAATGGTCAAAATTTCTCGTGTTGTCATACTTGTCAAGTTTATATTTTGTTCTTTATAAAACAATGTATTAGTCTCTTTTTTCTCTTGAACAAGTATAACAAATTTATTTGCCTATTTTATACTGATTAATAGAAGACAAGATATTTTAAACCTATTTTGATGTAGCCATCAGGTTATTTTCTGCTTGCTCTCTACCGATTGATAGAGGTTAAGATGTTTTTAATCTGTTCGTATGATTATATTCATATGGTTAGCACATAATTGTTTATATATACCAAACGTTAGTTTATTTGTTTTTATAGCCTTCGGATAAAGAGAATAATTATATCTTTCACCTTTTTTAATTAATTGTTAGATGTCAGTTAGGTTATTCCCGAATATAGTATGTACATATACATATGATTGACAACCTCGTTTCCATGAGAGCGCTTCATTGTTTTGATCTCATTTTGTTGGCCTCAATTGTTTTGTCCTTGTTCCATTGAATGGAATTGCATGGATGCGCAATCAATACGAGCTAATGGGCGTATTCAGCGGACTCAACAATTGAGTGAGTGCTCGCTATTATTGATATATCCTTTTAAATCATCCAATCAGAATTTTAGATCTAGAAGACTACATCGGGTGCATCCAGAAGCCACTCACTGAGCGTTCAATGAGCGGTCGTGCTTTCGGATGCACCTATTGGCTGCGTTCAACGGATTCAAAAGTTGAGTGAGTGCTCATTGCTATTGATGTATTCTTCCCTTTCTCTAAAATGCTGATTGGATGATCTAAAAAAATACACCATAACAGCGAGCGCTCACTCAACTATTGAGTCTGCTGAATGCAGCCAATCATGCTCCCCAGCAAACGAGAATGAATTGAAACGAATTAAAATGGATTCAGATTTTCAAAAATATGGATTCGTGAATGTGTTAAAATGAATTCTATTTATAATCCTGAATGCATTTTTATTTATTTATAAGAATTGCATAAAACAAATGTTTATTCCTTTTCAATCTTGAATGCATTTTTATTCATTTATAGGAATGGCATGGATTGAGTGCCATATCTATGCTTTTCAATCTAAAAATAATATTATAGTATTTTGTGTGCATCACATGAATACTGCTCAATTCAAAATTGTGAGTAGAAAATCCATTCATTTAAAAATGCATCATAAATACTACTTTATTCAAAATTATAAATAAGAAATTTTTCATTCTAATTCAACTGAGTTCTCAACAAACGAAAATGGATTGAAGTAAATTGAAATGGATTCAGATTTTCAGAGGCTGGGTAGTCGCTTTTATGTATATTTTATGTTAATTTCTTTTATTATATTATAGCCTTTATCCTCACATATTTATTCAGCCTTTAAACACACTGACTACTTTTAAATCTAATTGGCCTTCTACAATGGCCTTATTATATATAGAAGGCTCATAATCCCTGACGTAACAATAATCTCGATGAACATCCAACATTTTTCCGTTATTCCTATCTTATCTATTTCCAATATATCTTTGTCTCTTCCCTATCTCTTTTATCCTAGATTTTTTCTTAATTCTTTCTTTATCTTTATTAACTTTTAATTTATACCTATACTTTGCGGTTAAACTCCTATTGTTTCCGCGCAATTTCAATTTTTTAAATAATTCTTTCTTCACTGCCCTTATCTCAATACTGTATCGATTAACATGATATGTTTCAATAACGCTTCAAACCTATTTTTTTATTGGTCATTAGTAAAATTCTTTCTTCTGATTGGTCAATCAAAAGTTTCAAAGCATTTGAGACTTTGATCTCACTAAAGATATATCTAGGAATTCCCTATTACGTTAACTGCGTAATGCGTACTATCATTACGTATAAATCTAGATCGAACATTCAGCTTTTGCAGAACTTTAATAAAAGGCA